GACAGAGCGGAGTTTAGGGCTGTTGTACATAGGGTCGCTATGAGTCGCAGGCGACTCGACGGCACATAACAACAACAACAACAACAACAGTTGAGTGCCGTCGAATCGGATACAACTGGCACAGGAAGAGATTTACCTACTTCTCCAGAAGAGCACCCGGTGGGTTCAAATTGCACACCTTCAGGATTGCAGCACAGGTTCTTGACACTAAGCCACCAGAACTCCCTTTAAAAAAGTCTTTCTTGGAGGAAGTGCAACCATGGTGCTCCTTAGAGACAAAGATGGTGAAGCTTCATCTTGCATGTTGGGGCATGTTGTCAAAAGGGGCCAGCACTTGGAAAAAGGCATTTTGCTGAAAAAGATGGAGAATCAACAAAAGAAAGTGAGACTCTGAACAAGGTGATGGACAGAGTGATTGTAACAGTGTGCACTAGTATACTGGAAATCAGGAGGATGGCACAAGGTTTAGATCTCTTACTTATAGAGTTGGTACGAGTTAACTTGAAGTCAACTTGAAGCCCTTAACAATAACAACAGCAACATTCTGAACTTGTCAAGAAAAGGGGAAATGCATGAAAAGTAATGAGTTAATGTGACAGATATATCATTGTTGACTACATATATGGTTTCAATAATCTATGGTGTAACATTAGGAAGGAGGAAGCTGTGAGCTACATTAATATAATCTGAATGGCTTCTTGGATAATGGTGAGAATAGGTTAGTAAGGAGAGGAAAGGGATTGAATGACTTGAAAGATGGGAGAATGAAAAGATGGGAAAACATTTCACTCAAAAACAAATTGGGTTTCTTCTCATCCTTAATAAGTTTTTAACCTGACAGACTTATTTTTCTTTTTCAGAAGATAGAAAGAAAATATTCCTGGCGAGAAATGCTTTGACCAGTCCCGACTGGACGAGTGACTGTAAGTTTATATTGTAGTGATTCATGTGTGAATAGCCAGATTTAACAATAAAGTATAAAATCATGATTGGAGCCAGGGATGGTGGCAAAGGTGACTTACAAACACAAACCTGCATGCATACACATCAATCAGATTACATTTTGTAACTGACTCCAGCCAAATCAATATTGAGGATCAGTGACTGTAACAATGGGCTTCAGTACATTAAAATTGGGAGCGAGGTGCAGTATAGGGCACTCTTCTGATCTCTTGTTCATCTGACCTGAGTTATATAACAATGACAACCTGCTTCTTCTCTGGTGGCCTAGTCAGAAGAGAGGGGCTTTTTTAAATGTTGCCAACCCAAAGGCAGGAAGCTCAAATCCACCGCTGCTTCTTAGGAGGCAGATGGGCAATTTCCTCCTGTGTGTTTTACCTCTGAAACTCACTGAGGCTCAGCTGTGAGTCAGTTCTGTATTTCTAGTTGGTTTTCTATTTTCTGATGTTTAAAAGCTTTCTATGTCTGGATTGCTTTATTTTTTTTGTGCTCTTCATTCTAAACACATTTCAACTTAGTAGGATTTTCTTAGATCAGAAGTCTTCAGGATGTTATGTGGTTTTTATTGGGTCTGGGATTTTTATTCATTTGATTGAAAAATCCTGAAACAAAAATGCTTCTCTTACTTCAATTCTTCCTTAGTCCATATTGAATGCAAGATAAAATCTGTTTGTCTAGGAAACTCTAATTCACATTCTGAAGTTTGGGAACCCATGAAACACAACGGTCTTTCCCTCTTCAGACAAGTTTATTTCTCCATCTCTTTTTCTTCTCAATTCAGGGATTGATACAACCATCAGTTCCATTCAGATCATGGAAATCCAGCAAAGGATAGATCATCGGTACTGTAGTAGAAGCCTCCAGTGCGGGTGGGTAAGCCTTTTGTTCTATCCTCTATCCTTTCTTGAACTTTCCTGAGTGTTTATTGCATATGCTATACAAATATACGTATATGTTATTGTATATGTTGTTACTGTTGTGTACGTTTGAGTAGGTATCAACCCACAGCTGACCCTTCAGTGGGTTTTCAGGGGCAGTAAATTGGGAGGAGATTGTTCATCAATTAGTGGATTTGAACCACGTGTCTTCAGGATTACAGTGCAGTTTCTTGCCACTAGGCCACCAGAGTTGTGTGTGAACCTATTTCTCATTAGGGGAAGGAAGATGAGAAGCAGTCTCCTCCCATACAAGTTTCCTCTGAAAACCTACTGGAGGGTCAGCTATGAGTCAGTTTGTTTCTGGGGCACTCATAACTGGTGCCTGGTTTATAATTTTCTTCTCAAACTGGATACTCAGGGCTAGATGCTACCCCTTCCACATCTATCTCATTATTTTACATTTTCAACAATAGTGAAAAAATTACTATCTGGCTATTTTACACATTAACATCATACATTTGGCAGTAACAAATTCTGAGATGTGAAGCAAGAGAAATAGTGGCTGTGATGGCTAATGTTATATGTAAACTTGCTGGGCCATACTTCTCAATAGTTTGACTAAGGTAATCTTGGCAGTCACTTGATGATGCACTTTGGTAGGCAAGTCATGGTTTGTACACAGAGACACACTCACAGGTATGCATTATCTATTATGCTAATAATGGTATATATAGGTTAATTTCATTATACATAATATGCTAATTATGTTGTACATAATATGTTAATTATGTGTGACATAACTAACATCTGTTTGGACAGCATCCTAAAGCCTGCGCATCTGTGGTTCCATAAGGTTTTGGGTGGTTTGGGGTTGTTTTTTTTCCCTCCAAAGAGAAGCAACTCTCATTGTGCTTGTTTCTTTTGTTTTTTATCATTCTGTTATTATTTCCCACTAATGGATTTAACGACTCCCAGTTCATACTCTTGCATCACTGGACCACGCAGTGGGATCCATGCAGAGTGGGCAGAGGCCATGGCTGTGGGCATGGACCCTCATGTTGGCAGGTGGCAGTGTTGAGGCCTGGGCTATTCCTTCTTCTGGGGTCCTTGGGACAGCAGACAGGTCATGGTGCACTCTGCTCCTTGCTTACGGGTGTCATCATGCTCTTCTCATGCTACCGCTATTGCTGTCAGCTCCCTGGCTTCCACTAGCAGCCCTAACAGCAGTGATTACTCTAATGTTTCAATATAGTACTCAATTCCAAATCATTTACTGTCCTGTTTCACAGACTTCAGGTACTAGATAACACATCTGTCTATATAAAGCAGCATTTGCTAATTCAATATTTTAATGCATGCACAGTTCAGTGATATCAATTAAACTATGCTAGCACTGGTCTGTCCATTTGCTGCACGGAGGTAACTTGTGGTTGCTGTGATGCTGAACACAGTGACACTAATGTGTCAAATGCAATAATGGTTACCCATGGTGGACAGTGTTTGGTGGAGTTCCCCAATTAAAAAAAGCTTGGAAGCAGGATTGGCATCTACTTCCAAAATAGTTTGCCTCCAGAAACCCTATGAACTTGGAGAAAGGATGAAAATTATAGAAGTGTTGAGGACTTTCATTCATAGGTTTGCTGAGTCATCTAAGACTCGATGGCATTTAATAATAACAACAATGCAACCATTATCAGCATCTGTTGTAAAACTCTGGGCTTTAAAAGCCATAATGATGATTTTTTTCCCCCTGAAAGCCAAACTACATGGTGAAATGTCTCTGATTGTATCACTCCTTAAGAGAAACTATTTATTACTTGGTGGACAAAGGACTCATTAAATGGTTATTAGTAAATGCCAATAAAACATGGCTCCAGTGACTTCAGTCTGCTTATTTATAGACAAATCCAAAGAAAAATGCTTGTAGGGTAGCTCTATGGCTGGTTTTCTAAGGGCACCTAGCGAGGAAAGACATCGTTATCAATGACTCCAGGTTCTGAGTGAGCCTGGATTCATAATCTTTTTTTTTTCCTATAATTATATTTTATTAATTTTCATAAACATTTACAGAGATTTTG